AAAAAGAGATGTCCAAGCCATCCGACCCCCAAGGTGATCAGACCCGGTCCAGCCACAGCAACCCTGTAATGTCCATGTTCTGGTGTGTGTAACTATGGTAACTACGTCTGTGTGTGAGCAGTCCTGATGTCGCTGGACGATGTTCGGAGGTCCTTGCAAGCTAGTATAGAAAGAGATTCTGGACACGGTTCAACTTCCTCTGCCAGGGCGGCCAGAAGCTCCTGGTTTGGTCTGAACCGGACCCGGAGTTCCGCATCTACGGACCACCAGGACAGGAAAGACTCCTGCTTGCTAAAGCTGTGGCTAGCGAGGTTTCCATGACCTTCCGTTCCAGGTAGGACACCTTCCTCTTCCTTTCTTCAGTGATGTGTATGAGTGCTAGTCACTGATTGAAATGATTGATTGATTGTGATTGATTGATTAAATGATATATATTATATGATAATCTGCTCAAGTGTTAAAGTCCCAGAGCTCCATCAACATGACGTGGGTCAGAGTGAGGAAACATCAGAGAAGGTTGTAACAGTCAGTATTGATCAGTATAAGATCCCATATTGATTTGATTGGTCTCTGATCAATGACGCACGTATGATCCCCATATTGATTGGATTGGTCTCTGAATCAGTACTCACTGATTGGATCCCATATTGATTTGATTGGTGCTCTTGATCAGCACTGTTGTTTGTGGTTCAGTGTCAGCAGAGCGCGTCAGCAGCTCCCTGCGTCGTCCTTCTTCGATGAGCCTGGACCTCCTTCTGGCTCCCAGCAGGGGCGCAGTGGAGAACTCTGGGGGGTGATGGACAGTGAGGTTTACCTGCAGGTCAGTACCCTGAAACCGGACCCGGAACCGTCGGTACTGTGCGGCACAATAAAGTCTGATTGTAATGTTCGGACAGGGTCTGTCCAGCCGGCCGAGGCTCGACGCTCGCCACTCGCGTGCGGGGTGTTTGTGATCTGAGCCACAAACGGGTGTCCGTCACTGCTGGACCCAATCACTCGCTGAGGCCGGCAGGTCAGAGGTCTGCACAACCACACACACTGAGTGCACTGCTGCTGCCACCGAGCAAAGAATATAAATCATGGGTATTGTCTTTTTAAGTGTTAATTAAGAAATTTTACAGTGTAAAAACCAATGATCTATTAAAGTCCAGGTGAAGCTCCCTGCGATAACACAAATAATCCAGAACTAACCATTAACAAGCAGAGTGCTGGTTTATATGATTTGTTATTATTATGTAAAGTTAAAGTAATAGAAGTAATAAAAGTCATCTGTAAATGACAAAGTAATTAAGCTGTTTTATCACTGATTAAAAAAAAAACTTGTATTTGGAACATTTTTACCAAATTGCTTATACACTGAAAACAACATTAATCAAACTTCCATCCAATATATAACAAGATCTCGTCAAGTTAACCAATAATCCATTAAAATTACAACCAACTAATACTTTAACTGTAACTGCCAAAATAATGTTATAGTCAATTTTAGAAAGTTTTTTATTAATCTATAATATATTAAAGGAGTAAATATCGTGAAAACTATTAATTTTGCTAAATAATAATACTCTTTCGTCTCTTTTAAATTGATCCCATCAATCGTCCCTGATTAATGTAAAGATCCTCTGTGGTTTTATAACACTGAGCCCCCTTTCCAGGTCAGTTCTGGGCCGACGCTTGTGAAACTTGTCTGATGTGTCCTCGGTTTTGAATAAAACGGTCCTAACGTTTGAATTCAACGAGGACTCTGGTGTTCTCAAGCTGCCCAGGTCCCAGCCCAAATCCTCAGGAAAAGTAAGAACCAGCCTCCCCCTAACTGGCCTCCACCAACAAACATCTGTGGAGGAATAAACCTCCAACAACTAAATATCAACAAATCTTATCTTTATATATTCTGAACCTTTTTTCCCAAAACATCTCATATTAAAGTTAATTATTTAAATATATTTTTAAATATGTGCTTCATTTCACTCAATGCAATCTTGAGTAACAATCTTTCCAAAATCCTCAGTGGAGACTGTACCATAACGGAAGCCCATTATATAGGACAATCCGGCGCAAAAATGAACCTGGGGTTTATAAACACATGTAATAAGTTTGGTCTGTTCCTCCTGGCAATATTTCCATGGGGCCTAATCGCAACGTGACCTTAGTTTAGCTCCAAACCCATGCTAATTTACTTAAATGGCGAGTTCAACGGGGCACAGTCTCGGTCCTGTCCTTGTCCCTCTAACTTTTTGGAGCCTCCTCCCCCGCATTGCTCTCCATAATTTTATGATGGCCCGTTCAGGTCAGCATCTCAGTAGGTTGACGGTCACGTGGGCTGTTCCAAAAAATGGCGGCCCGCCTGTAAATGACGTGAGCTACGTTGTTCAAACTTATCTTTTTATAAATCTGTCCTGTTAGCACTTACAATTCTCAGTGCTGAGGTTTACAGGTAGGGCCCTTCATTTATGCACCCCTGTGTAGGTGGGTCATTTTGACCGTTAGTTGGTATAGAAAGCTTTCTTTTCACTTAACCCTGTGCCAAAACATTGAACTAGCGTATAGGTAATTTAGCGTTTTGGTGGCTAAAACTGGTCACGGCGATGAATGGAAAAAAATATCCCAGAGGAAACAGCACCAAAACTTCGGTAAAATAAGTGTTATTATTAACCCCAGGTTCATTTTGCGCGGGAATTGTCCTTTAATGTCACTAACATAAAATACAATGAAACCTTTTATAATAAAACTATTACCATGGTAACTCAAAATTATAAGATAAAAAGTCACTTTGTATTTCATATTTATTAAGTTTTTATCTCTGAACAGGGAGAGGAGGGTTGTTGTTGTGTGTAAACTGTAAAATGTGAATCAATCTTGGCTCCAGGTTCCAGCTGGACTCCGCCGTCGACCTGCGGGAGGTGGTGGACCGCTGCCCCGCTCACCTGACCGGCGCTGACCTGTACGCTCTCTGTTCGGACGCCATGACGGCCGCCATCAAGAGGAAGATCGCTCTCATCGATGCCGGTGAGAAAACAGGAAGTGTGACGGTGGAGCCTGAAACTTTAATAAAGTTCATTAGAGTAGCTCGCCTTTATTTCATCCTAACTCCTTCTCTCTCTCTCCCCCTGACACCCTCTCTCTCCCCCCTCAGGGCTGGACTCGGAGGACTCCCCCGTCCTGCTCTCCGTTGAGGATTTCTCTGCAGCGTTAGAAAACTTCCGGCCGTCAGTTTCGGACCAGGAGCTGCTGCGATACAGAAACCTTCAGCAGAAACTGAGAGACTCAGACGACGAAGGCTCCAAGAACTTTAATTTCTGAAAAATCTACATGTGCAAAACTGTAAATAATAATATATATATAATAATATAAATAATAATGATGTAAACAAGAAGTTAATTTATAAAATTGTGAGATTTAATTTCTGCCAGAAGCTCGTAAATAAACAGATTTCTGATTTTTCTGACTTTATTCTCAAATAACTGTAAATGTCTAATTCTTCTGTTAGCTTTACCCTGAGTCTGTTAGCATAGTGAAGACAACTCCCATAATCCAACGCTTCCCCTAGTGGCAACGTTTGTTATTGGGTTTAAGGAAAAATTATAAAATTATGATTTTTTAAAAACAACAACTGAAGTCTTTAGATTTAAAAGTTGAATATAAACGGTTCTACTGAACGAAACCAGTTAACCATAAAGAGATTTAATCAAAATACATTTTCATCATCAAACTTTCTACATTTGACTGCATTTAAAACTAAAATATAAAGTTCTGACAGAGTCGCCAATCTGCCAATCTGTTTAACCAAAACATTTCACAAAGTCATGACATGCTGAGATGCTAAGCTATTTACAGCTAGCCACTTTTATTTTTCAGTTTCAAAACAATCAATCACCTCAACAGGTAAAGCAGAAGAGAGGAAACCCAAAAGCAAAATGAATCAGTGGGAGAGCAAAGTGACAGTCGACAGTAAACAACCACATTTACTGAGAGCATTATCCTAAACAACACGTCGTCTGTTCTCCAGATTTTATTCCCTCAAAATCTAAACCTCCTGCTAGCGAAGGAAAGAGTTTATCATACATTTATTCATCATCAAGAAAAAAATCCTTATTCACGTCCTCGACCGTTGGAGCTCATTAGCTATAGCGCTACTTATTAGCTATAGCGCTAGCTTTGGCTACTGAGCTACCTATCTTTGGTTAGCTAAAGGGCTGTCACTTTTAACTTAGGATTCATTATCGGTTGAAAGCTGGAAAAATCTGTCCAACATCGGAACTGGTTGTGTCTTCATCTACATCTGTAAAACATTAGCTCAAAGAAAAGAAGCTATAAGTTTATAAGAATTATAAGACCAAACTGTAAAGTAGAAACTGGATAAAATAAAGCTGTAATGCTAAATGCTAGCTTGGCACCACAAATTCTACAATGTACCGATCATTTAGGATTAAGCTAATAGGTTTTAATTTTAGTAAATTATGTGTTAATTATTATTCATTTAAAGGTTCTGAATCCTGTTGTGTCTCCGTTTCAGAGAGTGAACGGGTTGTAGTGTAGCTTTGTTCCTCTGCTGCCAGGGGACCTTTGCTTCTATGTGTTCTAATGAGGGATGAGGGGTCAAAAGGTCGTGACCTTATCCCCCGAGTGCGCTTCCTTCCTCCGCTTCCCCTACAGGCCAACCAAGGGAGGCACACAACTTAACCACAGAAAGTCAACACAGAGTCCAGAAGTCAAAGCTAACATTAATGCTAAGTGGAACATATTGTCTGATTGTGCTTTTAGCTGGATAATGTTAGCTTGCTTCACTAACCCCGACCTCTAAATCCAAGATCGTCCTTCAGTAAACGTTGTGGTAATATTCTAATATATGTTTGTTAGCACTTCAGTTGTAAACAGCGTAATGCGTCGCTATAAACTGGTACTGCGAACTTGCTAGAGCATCAAACTTCTGACAAATGGTTTAGCCAACAATAAATTACGCTAACAGTACAAAGCTAACGATAGCAAGGGCATCCAGCTAGCTAACTGTAGCTAAGCTAAGGACGCCGACTGTAGTTCACTGAATGGCCACTGGTGTCACAATAACAACAGTTTAGTTAAAATTAAATTTAGTTTGAACCTTTAAACTGGATTTCTTTCGTGACAGCCCTGTTTAGCTTAGCATTAGCCAACAAATGTTATCAAATAAACATTTGTGCATTTTCAAGCAAACTGGTACCGAAATACAAAATGTACAAAAGTCTGAAAAAAAATAATTCTTCTGCCAATATATATACAGCATACAGCTAACAACCACTTTAGCTTTACGTTATATTTGTGTTGTGTTTATTTTATAATGGTGATATATATATATCAAATAAGAGAAGCAGTAGCGTTAGCAGTTAGCTAAGCTAGGTAGCTCGACCGTGCACATTTTCTAAATAAGTTCCCAGAACGAAAGTAAGTAAAGCAGAAATAAAGTAAAATCATTTAATTTTAACCATCCTGATAATCAATACAAATATTCGGTGACACTTTATATTAAGTCAGTAGTTTATTTCTGTGATATCACTTTTTACAGCAAGTCGATATGGTTAACAAGATCAGGTTTCCTCGATGGATGTCAGATTCATCAGTTTAAATCCTTTAATTTTGGTCCTTTTTCCAACGTTGAATGACAATGGCAATAAAAACTACAGGAAGTGGAGAACTTAATATAAAGTGTTACCATGTTAGATTCAGCTTTCAACATTCGGGATGCGTTTGTTAAATTGGTTTTTAAGTGAATCCATCACAGCAAAGTGGTCACTGTATGACCGCCGTATGACCGCCGTATGACCACTGTACGACCGCCGTACGACCGCCATACAGCTGCCACGACGAGCTGCTACACGAACGCCTCAAAGTGCGAGAATCTGGAGAAATTTAAAATAGTTGGTGAGAAGACTGACATCCTCATGGCTCAGAGTATGGAGGACCGAAACCGCCAAAATCAAACAAAAAATAGAAAAATTACCCAATAAATAACTATACCATTAAATGCACCAAAAATAGTATAAAAATTAAATATAGGTAATTAAATATAATTAATTTGCTTTAGTATTCATTTCCATTTCCATTAAATTGTACATTTCCTTTGTTAAATTTTATTTATTAGTGTATTTATTTCTTTATCAGTGTCCCTTTGGACCCCCCCCCAAAAATCGTTGAATTTATTTCAAATAAATAATTTTATTAAACATTTCTGCTTCATTATACAAATGAGGGGTGGTTCCTAATGGTTGATCGACATCAGACATCAATATTTTTGGTGCATTTAATGGAATAAATATACAGAATATATATTTTTATTTCTTTCCTTCATACAGATGCCAGCCAGATTTCAATTGGCGGAGCCATCTGCACTTAATTACTGTCACATGAACAACAGAAGAGTTGTTCCAGTTAGTTAGCTTGCTAAAAAGTTAGCTTGCTAAAGTGAGGTAACTTTATTAAAAAACAATTGCAGATCTATCTGTGGTTTTATTTAATGTCTTTCAGATGCTGGTTCAGATAAATCGAGCGTGAGATCTGCTCATATTTCTCCTCCCCATACGAGTCCTCAGCTTTCAGTGAAATAATGTTTTCAGCTGCTGTTCGATTGAGCAGCGGAAACTTATTAGCAGACAAACATCGTCAGTGTGACACATGAAGCTGATTTCTCCAGACGCTGCAGCGTTCGAGCCACTGTGGTCACGTACAGACAAAGACAAATGTTTTTGTTATGAAAAATAGAAAACTGAGAAGCTCCAGTCTGCGTCTCGTTGAGTCAATTAAAGACGTCCTGCAGGGCTCGGCTACCAACGCCGGCTTCTTGGTGTCGTGTGAAGCTTCGTTACTCTGACAGAAGAAGTGTGGCGGCGGTCGGCGTCCCATCAGGATTTAATCAGCAGCTGGTTTTGGATTCTTCTGAGTCTCAGAGACCTGGACCTGGAGCCCTGAAAGAGTCCAAACCGAGAGCACAGGAACAGCTGCTACCAACAGTTCTTACAGTCCAATGAGCCAAAAACCAACGTGTGTGTTTGGAGAAAGTGGGTGAAGCCGGTGAAGTCCAGGTCTTGGCGTAATCCGGATTAGTCTGGAGGTCTCAGTCTCTGTGGTTCGTCCTCTGGCTTCGCTCTGGTTTGTGGTTCCTGGGTTTTAGTTCGTCGCTGGGGCAAAGATCCAATGCACGGGTCTTCCTGGTCTTCCATATCTGACGAGCAGATGGTCTCCGTTGAGGACTCAGGTGAAGTGGGGCATCCGGCTGCAGGTTCTGGAAGACAGGGAACGTTTTTATGGACCGCATCAAAGTCTGACTCCTCAAACCGACATTCATTTAAAACAGGGACACAGACGAAGACGAGGAGGAAGGTCAGTGTACTCTGCGAGCGTCAGAAACAGAAAACGACCCGTTTCTGGTTTTATTTGATGCAAATCTCATTTATTGGTTTTGTGTTGATTCTTTTGTCCTGAAGTCTTTGGTGCAGCGACGTACAGAAACTTCATCAAGCTCATCAAATTACTGATTTTAATTTTAATAACAAAAACACACCAAAAACGTGTCGTTCTCTGTGTTTGTGAGTCCGTTGGCTTCAAAGTACGCTGATGGAAACAGTTTCTCTGATCAACAACCACAAGCTGAACACGAAACCCCGTTAAAACCAGTGAACCTTCTGCACTTTGTGAAAGTTTGTCCCAATGAAACAGAAACCGGGGCCGTTTGCTTTCACTTAATCACATTTCCTGTAAAACCAGTCGGCTGGAGACGAACTCTGAATAACATTATTCAGCATGGCTAACGTTAGCTAGCTTGCTCGCTAGCAAAATACTATATGAGTGGATATGTTAATTGGCTAACGTTAGCTTCTGCAATTATAAATGTGTATTATTAGAAACTGTTTTAGCGGCGATTAAATGATGCAATGGTAGCTAACCATTTTGCTGCATTAGCTAGCTAGCAATTTGTCTGCGTTAGCAAACAAGCTACTTTATTTAACAAGCTTTGCAGTACGGATGTGCGCTAATTATCGGCCTGTAATTGGAACTGAAGACGCACAGATCATAGAGCCAAAGCGTAACGCCGAGCACGGTGGGAATTCGGGTTAGCTTCAACATTAGACTGTTCGATTGTTGTAGACGTTACCTGATATTAACCTGCAGTTTGTCTGATATTTTGTGTGTTTTGTGACCTGCTTCGTTAACGGTTTTCCTCCTTGCTAACCCGTCCCGTGTTACTCGCTGATGGTGGGGTTCAGCATTCCTCCATGCAACATAAGCCATATTTACCGCTTACGTGGCCTTTGCTACTTTTGTGCGCTTCATCCTTTTCCTCCTCATGAGGGTCACCTGAGGCCTCTTCAACCCTGCGATCAGCAGCAGCAACCTGGGCCGCGACTTGGTGAGCCAGCTTCTCAGTAGCGTCCCCTTGGGAAACCTGGAGGAACAGCAGAGGTCAGTTAAAGCCTG